TTTTTAAGTAACTCTCAATCACACCAAAGAATGAGGAATGGGCAGGAAGGCACTTCAAAATGCAATGGAGTTACAGGTTTGGGTTTTTTAAAAAACAACAACAACAACAACAACAACATTATTTCATTTAAAAACACAATAATTCAGATGTTCTAATAAACTTGTGACCCTCCAGATATTTTTGGCCTACTGCTTCCATCACAACTAATGACAGTTGTGAGTGATAATTTCCATGTCAGTGGGGCAGTTAAACTGCTCCACGGTTTCTCCAAATATTGAAGGAACTAACCATGGTACTGAACTCTCCCAAATAAGATCAGTACCTTGGATAGCTTCTTTATACTTCAGACTAAAACCCAGAATGGAGTCACCATCTCACCAACATGAAAGCCATCAGCCACCACTGGTCTTTCCTTGCTTTCCTTATGTGGACAGGCAAAGTCCTTTTTATTCCATATGGTTTTTCAAGCAGAAAATGTTTAAAGACCAGGCTAGGGGATGGTATATTGTCTTAAGCTGATTCTTTTAAATAGCTTTTATCTTTTTAAATGGTAGTTTATTCTTTTAATTGGAGCTTGAATTGTTCTAATACTGTGAATCATTTAATTCTAATTTAAAGTTTACATTTTATACCTTTTAACAATATTGTTGAGGTTGAAGGCAGCTAACAACAGCAAATGAATCTCAAGAAAAATCAGATGAAGCAATTTTAGAGCATTCCAACTAACTGGTGCTTTGTGCTAATAATAATAACAATCTGAAATACAAAGAAATGTCATATCCTCCATCTGCCCAGATTTATCAGGGAGAGTCTCAGTTAATCTGCTGTCCTGCTTTTTTAGATGCTATGAAATTTTCCCAGTTTCTCTTTCCTCCTCTCCCTCTCCCCTTTTATCTTCAGCCTCCCTCAATTGCTGCGGACTGAGTTCAAATTGCAAAAGTATTTTGCACTCAAATAATTCAACTGGGAGAGGACAGGGGAGGAGTGGAATCTCACAGTTCCCTGCAGGCTAAGGCAAAAGCAAACTGCTGCAGCCTCTCCTAGCTTGTGTATTCTTCCTCATTAATAATGTCTGCCATCTGGACCACACTGTAATGTTGCTGGGACATAAATTGTCTCCATCTGTGAAATTCTGGAGTGTATAAACTGATTCAGCATGAATGGTTTTAATCTGTGGCATGGGGTGTGTAGGGGGTGTATAGAGTACAGACCTTACCAGGTGACACCCCAGAGGAGGGGTGACGCCCAGTCAGGCCCTCCACTGCCACCCCCCAGCAGCCCCTCCACACTGGTTGACACCAATGGTAGTGATGCCACTGGTTTTAATGTGGTGTTACTTGATAATTTTCTATTATGGCTTGATCATGATGATGTCATGATTGGCTAATATATCTCCTGTATACTCCTATCCTTTACTGTAGGGTTATGCTATGCTATTGCTAGGTAGATTTTTCAAAACTACTATAAATTTTAAGGTGTATATTTGCTTTGGTGCCAAATTGCTGAGATTTCATGCCAACATCTGGACCAGCACTATGTGGTTAAGTAAATTGCCTTCTGCTACTTATTGTGCCTCCAGTCTTGAACCTCAAATTGGATAGGTTTCCCCTTCAGCCCACCCAGGGCTGTACTTTTATACAGGAGTCATAGGTTTCCTGGGAAAGGAGACCTTCTTGAGTTGTTCACTGCATCATACACTATTCCCAATCCCACCAAAAACTTTTTGGTCTCTCTGTACTTGAAGCAGCCCTCTAGAGCAGTGATTCCCAAACACTGGTACTCCAGGTGTTTGGGATGTCAGCTCCCAGAAGCCTCAGCCAACTTGACTGGTAGCCAAAGTTCAAAACATCTGGAAGGCCAGAGTTTGGGTATCACTGCTCTAGAGGTTCAAGATGCATCTAGACTGTAGGAAAAATGCAGTTTGACACTACTTTAACTGCCATCCTACAGAAATTTTGGATTTGTAATTTTGTAAGGCACTAGCACACTTTGACTGAGGAGGCTAAATACTTTATAGAACTACAAATCCCAGTATTCCATAGAAAAGAGCAACAGCACTTAGAGTGGCATCAATCTGCATTATTTCTTCAATGTAGATACACCCTCAGACAGCAGTCTTCCCAGTCCTATTTGGAGAAGTTGGAGATTGAACCCAGTGCCTTCTGTGTGAAAAGAATATGCTCTGCATCTCCACCTACAATGATTTTCCTTTGCTGGGCTGCCTTCCTAAGAGCCCATGACAAAATGATGTTGAACCTATATATAGACGCTAGTTCAAAAGGCTTCTGGCCTGACCTTTTCTCAAGAGATTTGCTTGCCTGAGTTACTTGCAATAGGGAAGCAGAGAGAAGAATTGTAGCATCAGCAAGGTTTAGATTTCAGAATGAGGAGGGAATGAGAATTGATTAACCTGAGTTTTTCAGTTCTTCAGCTTCACCAAGCCTTTTCGCTCCAACACCTCACTATTACTTAGGCAGCTTAAAATGGAGGCCCATGAAATCCCCGGAAAGTTAATATTTTGTAAAACACTTTAGCTAAGTAGCTACTCAGGGTTATAGGCACAGTGGTGATGATGTGCTGGGTAGAAAATGTGTCCAATAAACTTTTAAAAAGGAGAGAGAAAACACATTGCAGTAAAAGATGAGTGGGAGAGTGAAAGCTAATGTTACCATTCAACAGTGCGGGGAGGGGGGCAAGTCATCAGTAAAACACAAAAACAATTAATTTCCAATGACAAAATGAGTATTCACAATGAATCTTGCAAATAGAAGATTGTTTTCCTTTCTTTCTCCCTCCTTCCTTCCTGCTTTCATTTTTTACAAGTGGCTTTCTCCCCGACACTCCTGCAAGCTTTTGAGGACAACTCAGGGTAGATGGGAGGGATGTTTTGGTGCAAAGAGGATGGTCATGGGCAGGATTCTGTTAGGGACTTATACATAAATAAATGTAGATTTTTCACTTCACTTACTTTTTGCACTGAGAGCTAGGGGCTATTCTCTAGCACTTTGTCTCCCATCCAAAACCTTCCTCCTCCCCTAACTGTTGAGTTTTGCTGTTTACTGGTGAAGAGAAGGCAGAGGGGGAGGCAATTTGGAAAATAACAAAACAGGTAGTCTGGACTCTGAGAGGGCGTAAATGGTTATATTTGTTCCATGAGTGCACCCTTGTGTCTTCCCTCCCTTCAAGCTGAAACCATATGCCTCTTATTTGTTTGAAGGGCTGTCTTCCCCCAACTTAGAAGCATCAGCATCAGCATCAGCCCTCCCAAGGCTTGAGAACTACTGGAGCAAGAGGAGAACATGAAACTATGTGGACATAACATTGATGGAGGACCATGTATGATATGTTTGAGGGACTATTTGAAGATACAGTTGGCCCTCTGTATTCACAGATTTTTTTTATCCATGGATTCAAACATCCATGGCTTGAACATAGTAAAAAAAAAAAAGTATACATTCCAAATAGCAAACCTTGTTTTTGTCTTTTTATAGAAGGGACAACATTTTACTATGCTATTGTATTTCATGGAGCTTGAGCATCCATGGATTTTGGTATCCACTGCAGGGGATGTCCTGGAACCAAACTTCAGTGAATATCAAACTCATTTGTTTGAATGTGTCTTTTATTTGAAGTTCTCATATAAAGATAAGGAACCAAAGGAAAAGTGAGCAAGGAAGGGGGATCAAGTTGTCCATCAAGAGTTTGCTTCTGAAAAACAAATGGGAAAATGTTAGAGAATGCTCCAATCACAATTCAAGAAGGAGGAAGACAAGCTGGAGCATATCCAGAGAAGGCAACCAAAATGGTGAAAGTTCTGGAAACCGTGCCCTATGAGGAGTGGCTTAGGGAGCTGGATATGTTTAGCCAGGAGAGGGGAATGATAGCCATATTTAAATATCTGAAGGGATGCCATATGGAAGAAGGAGCAAGCTTGTTTCCTGCTGTTCCAGAGACTAGGGCATGGAGCCCACCATTGTAAAAGATGGTGACAGGTTCAGTTAAGAGGCAATATCCTTTAGCAGAGTTTGCAGAGATTTGGCATATTTTCCTGCAAACTCTGCTAAAGGATACTGCCTCTTAATTGAACCAGTCACAATCTTTTACAATGGTGGGTTAACACCCAGAAAACTACCTCTAACACAACAACAACAAAACACATAGGTCACCAGGGTACAACTATGGAGGGTGGGCAAAATGAGGATGTTGCCCTCCAAATAAGAATTTTACCTCCCATTAACTTTTCCAGTTCTCAGATTTTTAGCATCGGAGAGAGTGAGACACTGAAAATAATTCAGACCTAGAACTCTTCTATTTGCTGTGTTTGCATTCCTTTGATAACTTAGCTTGCCCACTTGGATGCTTAAAATATATTTTTAAATATTCAACAGAGGTTTTAAGTTACTGCAATGCTAGAAATTTGGAGATGGAACAAAAATTTCATTGAGGAGGTTACAATTCTTATTTAGAAAGAGCAACATTATCCTTCTGCCCTCACAGCTACACATCTGTAGGTTGCCTAGTCACAATCTCCCCTATTTTAAAATATTAAATGTGCTATGTTTAAATTACAATACCTCTTTCAGAATCTATCATTAGCAGAGGGCACATTTTGTGCAAAACTGTACAGTCTTTTGCTCAGCTTTCACACACATTAGGTTTTCCTCCAAGTCAGCTGACTGGTGTTGCTTTGGCTTCATCATGTTAAAAAAGAACTGGATTAAAAACAATTTAGAAGAAACCTTTTCCTTTTTTTAAAAAAAGGATACTATAATCTTTCCCTCATTCCCTTTAGCCCAGATACGTCCATGCACCTTTAAATGTTGTCTGTTGAATGAATGAATATTTTTTTAACCATCTGATTTCAAGATTAAAACAAAACAAAAGAAAAAAACCACCCTGCAGACATCTCTCAAATGCTTTAATTTGTCCACCAAGTGGTTTGAAATTTCCTGGTTTACAAATTTCTGGAGTTTGATTCTAAGTAGGCTTGTACAGAGGAGTCGTTGTGGCATAGTGGTTTTAGTGTTGGACTATGGCTCTGGAGACCAGGGTTTGATTCCCAGCTTAGCCATGAAACCCACTGGGTGACCTTGGGCAAGTCACACTCTCTCAGCTTCAGGGGAAGGCCATGGCAACCCCCTCTGAACAATTCTTGCCAAGAAAACTCAACAATCGTTTGACCCATAGATTGGAAACGACTTGAAGGCACACAAGAATAATAATCAGGGATCCCTTTGAGAATGTGATGGAAGCTGTGGTCCCCCTTCCCTGAAAAATGTATTTAAACACAGTTTTCAAATAACTGGGAGGAAAATGAACCAAAAAATCATTTTTGTACAGTTCAAGGACCTTCTGAAGCCCAACCACAGTTCCTTAGGCTCGTGGACCACAGGTTAAAAATTCTCCCTCTTACTCCTCTTACAGTCTTTGATTGTATAATTTCACTTGAGTGCAGTACTAAATCTATACCTTGTGCTTCCTTGCAGTACTTTCTTTGTTTTTAAAAAGAAGGGGGAAGTATATCTAAACTTGTTTGGTTCAGTGAAGAACATATATTAAGTTAGTGGTTTTTATTGGGATGATGCTTGTATTAAGGAGAAGGAGGGAGGAAGAGCTTTACAGTAACTTAGGAAAAGGAGAAAAATTGTGATATACTTAATGAAATGAAAGATACTATAAATAAATAAATAATATATATATTTAAAAAAAAAAACATTTGCCTGCTTCCTTTGCCCGATGAAAATGGTGAGCTTTCTTCTCAGTCCACTAGGGGACAGCATTGCACCACTCTAGCTTACTGTGGGGCGAATTCGCTTAGGGCTTCTGTAGTACCCATTCTGGCCACTAGATAGCACCATTACACAGCTGTTTTTGGGATCGCTCTCCCTAAAATGGAAAAGCTTAGTAGGAGAGAGAACGAGAGAAGCGAGAGGGCAAGAGTTGTCCGGGGAGGAGTCGCTTTTCGAAGGTCCAAATATCAGGACCTGCCTGGCCCAGTGGTTTGAGCATTGGACTAGGACTCTGGAGTCCAGGGCTCGAATCTTCATGATAAGGCGTGGAAACCCACTGGGGGAGCTTGGGCAAGTCACACTCTCTCAGCCTCAGGGGACGACAATGACAAACTCCTCTAAATAAGCCTTGCCAAGAAAACACCACGGTAGGTTCACTCATAAGTCAGAAATGACTTGGAGGTACATAACCATTATCATCGACTCCTTTGATAATGTGATGAAAGCTATGGTCTCCTTTCCCTGATAAAGGTATTAAACACACTTTTCCGAACCCCATGATAGGGTCGCCACACAACAACAACAACAATAACAACAACAAGAGGCTGAATGACCACTTGTCAGGGATGCTTTGATTGTGAGTTCCTGCATGGCTGGGGGGTTGCTTTGGATGGCCTTTGTGGGTTTTTCCAACTCTATGATTCTATGAACCTGTCCCTTAGATCTGTTCCCCCCAACAGATGAAGGTGGTTGGCACTATTCTCATGTGAAGAGAGGACTGACCTCCCCACCTAGACACACACATCCTGGAT